AATAAAATATTTATGAAATCCTTTGAAAGTTTTAAGAAATGGAAAGGAAATGATTCTAAATTACCTTGTCAGATAAATGATATAATAATTTACATGCATGATGGTAATGTACAAAGCATTTTTAAGTTCACCGCTAACACAGAAATGAAACAGTTACCTTATAAAAGAGACCCATGAGAGATTGGTTATTAAAAAAATAAAATAGAATAGAATCTTGAAAATCAGAAGGGAAAGAAATAAATGATACATATTTTAACACTTCAAATGAACTATCATCAGAAAGGAGTATGAAGAGTTTGTTGGAATATGATAAAGCACAGAATAACATTTTTATATTTAAGAGTATTCTGGCATGTAGATAAAATGGGATGATATTAGGATGAGAAAAGTAGCATTTGGAATTAGTGATGTAAAGATTTGTTGAACAGATTTGATACTTTATCATCAAGCATCATCTTTGTAGGTGCAACAATCTGAATCTGACATATTCATATAAATTTAAAAAAAAACCCAAAGATAAGATTTGAAAATTGTAATGAGCATTTATACATTCCTTTCAATGATTTTAAATTTTATACAATCATTTGAAGATGACGTGATATATCGGATGTAAAAAATATATTGAATAAAAGTAGGAAAATGGTTGCTGCTTACTGTGAGTTAGAGAAAGTAATGTAGTTGTATGTGATACTGAAATGATAAATTAATAATTTTAATATTAAAGATATAATTAAAATATTTAACTAATTTAAAGTACCTCACTGAAATCTTAGCTTTACTTTTTATTCTGTTCTAGGTAAGGGATTTAAGTAATAGATTTAATTTCCACTATCAAAGAACAGCTTTCTTCTTTACTGTCTCAAAATTGACATAACTATTTTTCAAGATTTTATTAACACTTCATTAAAATTAACAAAAAGTTACTGACTTAACTGAGAGAGAAATTATATAAAGAAGCAGACAGAAAGTTAGATATAAATGTAGCAAAAGAATAAACTCTCATAATGAAGTGAAAAGAAATGATTCTAAACAGTTGGTAAGACAGAAAGGAATTTATCTAATCATGGAAAAGCTAGCTATTAGTTGCAGTATATGGAGTAATTGTGTCAAACTAGTGATTATCTTTAATTAAAAAGATGCGGAGACTTCAAGTTTCTCTCTTAAATATCTCCCGAATAAAAATCTTAAAAGAGATTCACCATTTGATAGAACATGAAGATAACGATTCCCATTTACAAATTTCTATAATTTAAATTTATTTATTAATAGTCATTCTTATTCAAAGTGCAGAAACTTTAAATTACAGATGCATTTGTATTTTTCTGTTCTGTGATTATGTAACTACTAATTTATTATAAACATTATTGAAACAAGTCAAATCTCACAATAACCAGATAAAAACAATTGAGAGTTTTCAAGTGGTGCATCTAAATTTGCAGCATGTATATATCAGGTAGCAAGTATGCAAATTGCAGAATTTGTATTTTGCAAGTTGAGATAATTCTTACTTTGTATGAAATTATGTTTTATGTATAATTTAATGAACAAAAACATTTGTCTACAAATACAAAAATTATAAAACTGAAAGTTATAAATTGTGTCATAGATAATATTTGAGTGAGTATGCAGATTTGTAGTTACTGTTTACTACTACATATATATGTAACTGAAATTATTTTGCCAAATAATCATAGTGCCAAATACAATGTTTATGTATAAATTCCTTATATGAAGTAAACAATTCTACAATTACACAATGTTAATTAATATATAATTAAAATTTGAAAATGGTTTATATAAAAACTTCAAAGACAAAATACTTTTTTTTTTTACTTATAAATTTGCAAATAATTTGATGTATACAACAAAAATATTTTTATTTTAATTTATTCCGTAAACATGTCGATAAATGATAGTTAAAGGATGAGAATTATGAGTAGTGTGTGAAAGGGAACCGTACAAAACAGTTATGAATTAGTATTGTGCAATGCATCATGACTCTGTTAATTAGACAATGGAAAATTTTCTATCTATTTTTATCTTACACTTCTGAAGTGCCGTACAACCTCGAAGGTTGTTTTTATGCCTCGTATTTGTTTCATAGATTCTCCAAGAGGTTTTGCATTTCTCTAATTACTAACATATGTCACATGTTTTCATTTGTGTCAGCTTTGGGTACTGTTACTATAATGTGGTGATATTACTAACAGGTAATACTTTAAACTTTAGAACAAATATTTAATACTTTCAAGTTTATTGTTATTTTATTGAATCAAACAATTAAGACATTTGTAATTTATTCCAAACATGGAAATACTTTAATTCTGATGTTTTTATTTTTAATCTTGCTAAATTTATGTCTAAATTTCTGGATGACAAGCCTAATATATGAGTTAAATAGCTGAAAAATCATAATTCCTGCTGTAATATGGTAGAAATTATATTGTGTTTTATAAATATGTGTAATATATGTTAATGGTTTAATGTATTTAAGGAAATGGCATGAAGACATTATTCTTTATTAAAGATGCACATTATACACAAATTCAAAATAAACAAAATTCTATTTAAAAATTCATTTTTATTTGTCGTATTTAATGATAAAACAAGTAAATCCTAAGATGTAATTTTTAAAAAATTACAATTCTCTTATCAGTTTTTGGCTGTTTAATTTTTTTTTTCAAATTGTACCATCTTGTCAATTTTCTTTATTATTATTTTTTTAAACTCCTGTGACCCATTTTGTGCTAAAAAATAAAAATAAAAACATAAATCTGACACAAAGATTTGACAGGATAGCTTTATTAAAATTTAAAGAAATCGTTTGAATAGCCAGAGGATAGAAGAAATAGGTCGAGTGAGTTTTCTGGACGGCGTTCAAAATCTTTCCGCTCGTGTTTTGCCACTTTTGCTGCACAAACACATGCATTTTTCTTTCATTTATGGATTACTTCGGTTCAAATTTAATTAACATTTTAATTTTTTGCCTGTTGATAGACTATCTCATTAATCTTCATGTACTCTACTATGCCATTCAAGAACTAGCATTTAATGTGGTTCATTTTATATTAATCTTAGATTAAATTTCTTATCTAAAATGTTTATATTATTATAAATAATAATAATAATAATAATAATTTATCTAAGATGAATTTAAAGCATTTAATGTTGTAAAATAAAAGAATTCATTACAAATAGTAATTTGTAAACATTCATCTTAAAAATTTTACTGTGGAAAATTTTCAACTTGAAAATCTTCAAAATAGTCCCATTGGACTCATAATTCATATTGAATAAGCAATCTAAGAAAACAATAACATTACATAAGAAAACAATCTGTTAATATATATGAAAGGCAGTCAGAATTGAAGTGTTTCTGTTAATAGTGCATTCTGTAAATGGACGACCCAGTTTTAATCTTCGCCAGTGAATTGGCAGCATGGGACATACTCGATAAAATTTGTTACCTGCCAGAAAATGCAAACAAAGACAAGTTTGAGTAAAACTGAAGGCAGAAAAACAGGTCGGAGAATAGGAAGAGTCGTGTTTTTCTCGGGAAGTGGGAAACCAGAACAAGCCAGCATATTTAGTGGCTGTCTTTAACAAAGGACAAGCAGTAGGATAACAACCGATAAAATTAGTTTTTTTAATGTTACAAAAGTATGCTTTGTTTTGATCTTTTTTAAAGTTGGACAGTAATGAAAAGCAGGAAGTGGCAAAGAGAGAAATAATATTGTAATTATCTTATATTTGTAAGCGTTATTAGTGAAAAATTGAGGATTCTAAGAATAAGTGTAAAAAATAGCCAAAGAAAATGAGAAATTTATCATGACATTAATGAAAATTTCAATGTAAACTGTGACGAAACAGTGACCAGATAAAAATTTAATATTAAGAGAAAAGAGCAATCATGCATAAAGATGGAGATCATGTGTATCTAATAAATGAAGATGGAAGCAGCTATTAGTCTGGTTGGAAATTGTTGCAATAATGAGAGTTACATGAATAGACAACTTAAACATTATTCTGTGTATGGTGTCATCCGAAACCAGACCATCATGTGTGATTTCTGAATTGACCCGTACAGTGATATGTAAGAATAGTGTAGTGAATATAAATTATTGTTTGAATGAGATAAATGTATTATGTTCTTAGAGCAAAACTTAGTGTTAAAAAAAAATAATAATAATTTACTTGATGATATAAACAGCCAAGCCAACAAAACACTTGTCGGAAATGGAGGTCCTAAAAGCTTAGTAGTGTAAAGATTTACCATATTATTAATACATTTGTTAGTTTTTGTTTTAGGTTTGTGATTTCATTTATGGTATCTAATTCAAAAGATTTGTTGGAAATTGTTTGTCACATATTTAACATTTCAATTGTCATTTTGAACTACAAAAGCTGTATTTACCAGTAAAGTTTATAACTCCAAAAATACAAATACTTCATCATTTGAAGAAAAGTGGCTATATTGTATCAATACTGCAGATATTTGGGTTTCCGAAGGTCGTTAACATCAGGCATAGTTTCGGAACAATGTCACAAGTGGACTCAAAGTTTTCTTTTATTTTTAGCCCGTCCAAAGAATATTTTTTCGGCTTTTGTGGGAATCTGTGCAAAAAGCAATTGGAACATTTCAAACATGGCTTTCGTGTGCATGGTCATATTTCCTCTTTGACTTTTGCTTGCGTAAATAGACAAACGACGAAACTTGCATATTTTGCAATGGAGACCAAAATGATCATTTTCAACCCATAATAATATACCCATATACAAAATTACATTATTATATATAAATGGGTGTAAATCGTTTAGAATTTCTGTCACGGGTTTGTTTCTTCTGAACAGAAGTTAAATTGAAAGAAATGGATGCTCCTATGCTAGAAGTCGTGGCTTTACCTCAGATGTACAGTACAAACGAAAGTTGTGAATTTCTCTATTGTTACCGCTCCTAAAATAGCAATAGTGACAACAAATGAAGATTTATAGCATTTATTTTGCAATTAGTCGTCATAAAATAAAATTTAGTTTGAAAATAAAAATAAATAAATAACGTACGGTGCCGCAAACAATTGCAAATAATACTTCTACGATGGGATTGGCATTTTAACACATGGGCGCGTGCCGAGAATTACCAACGGGTCCGCTTTTTAGGGGTCGCGACGACCCAGGTGACGTAAACACACCAACGTCACTTCCCTCTTCGGCGCTCGGACCACCCTTTTTCGAAGGACCAACCGGATCGGGGCATCGATTAAAAGTGCCATTAGCCAACGTCATTAGAGAAGGGCGCGCACGCGAGCGTGTCCTTCTGAAAGATATTAAAGGAAAGAATTGATTTTTCGGCCGTGGCTTTTGGCATTTTAATTGCGGAAGAGTCCCGAACCGGAAGCCGAAGGTCGAGCCGCCGGAAGCGGCGGCCGGGGAAGAAGATTTACGAGGGAGGAGGGGCAAGGGAGGGACGAGCCTCCCGCCGCCGAGCGGGGAGAAGAAAGAGGGCGCGTGACGGATGCGGAAGCGGCACACGCCCGCACGCGGCGCGCGCGAGATGTTGATTAATCGACTGGTAGGCATTGCTAGCGTAGAGAATAAATATCGACCGAACGGCGCCGTCTCCGTTGGCCGTATATGCCCCGGTCGAGTGCAATGGAGTGTAGACAATACTGTAGACGATGACGACAAATATGGTGTACGAATGTCTGTCGCTAGTCCCGATCGTGCTAAATTGCCCTGGATGGACCCCAAGCGCCCCACGACCGAAGAATGCGAGCACAGCTTCATCGACGACGTTCCGCTGCCTCTTCCTCTGCCAGACGAATGCTGCGACGACGACACGTATGAACAGGTCGTGCTACCGGAATGTCGGATTTGGGTCTCGAGTCACCGCTCTCTCACCAAACTAACCACCGTGGTCTTGTTCTTTATCGCTCTTTTCGTCATCGGATTTATCGTTCTCTCCCCTCTTTTACATTCCTATCTGTGACCTCCGCCGACACGTACCATATCACAGCTCCGTCGGATCACGTGACCTCCTCAGGTACGTTCTCTCCCCGTACTTTTTCCTCTCCCTCCCCTCCACTTTCGGGGCACGTTTCCCAACACAATCGATAAGTCCCTTTGTCGTTCGCGCTTTGACATTTAACCTTAAAATTCGAGTATCGGCCGAGCACCCCCCGCCGTTTCTCGTCCCTCTCGAATCTGGGTTAATCGATCGACGATCGGGAAGGTTGCGATTCCTTTTTTCCTCCTCCGATCCACCCCTCTCCTCCTCCTCCTCTCCGTAGTGTTGTTTTCGAGTCCGTGTAGGTGTACCGATTGATTATTTTTTTAAAATATCGAACGGGGGTGTTGTTCGCGCCACCTCTCTTCCTACGCCGATACATTCGAACCGCTGTCCTGTGTTTTTATCCGTTCGATTTCCTACCCCCCGCAAGCGGAATTTTGGCGTGTACGGCCTCGAAATTATCCGTTTGTGCTATCGAAATTCTGTTCTCTCCCGTACCACTCCCGTTTTTTGTTATTTCCAAAGGTGGTGGTTTCTCCTTTCTCTGACTTGCTGAATATGATCTACACTGTAAATTGCTCTTCTCTGCCAAGCTTTTCTCGCGTTTATATTTATGGGATCCTTGGGTCCCTTTCTTTTTGAGCGTTGCTGTGCCTGTGCCTGTCTTTCTGTTTGGCTGGATGCCTGTTCGGCAAAAACCACCCAGATGGAACCGTGGGAAGTTCTTTAAAATAGGATCTGTTCCATATTCTCTGTCGTTTTATTCTTACCAGGATAGAAAATTTTGACTAAAGAGTTTTTAATTTCTCCATACAAGGTTACTGATGACAAAAAAAACATGCCTTTCAATGTAACTATCCCTTATAAGTAAGTCAATTATTTAAAAAAAAAAAAAACAATGTGTGACTGAATTAGAATGAATTCATGTAAATGGTGGGATTACCATAGTTAGTCAGAGTTTTTGTGGTTATTGGTTGCATTGTGGGACTCGTTTTCCTTTTGTTTCCATGCTCTTCTCTGTATACCCCGCCCTTTGGATTGCCTTCTCTCCGTGGGGACGCAGCTTTGGCCGTTGCCTTGTGGACGGAGAATTTTTGCAACTGGAAAATGTTTACTCCTCAGTTATCAAATTTGAGGGAAGGCCACTACTTTGCAGCAGTGTTCATTTTATATAAATTATGCACAAATTTTCTTGTCTAAAATACAGAATTGTCTTGCCCCAGGAACGGAGTATTCTTTCATCTCGGAGAATGTCCTAGTCTTTTCATTAATCAAATGCGGTAGAATCTTGTTAATCTAGCCGTTCCTTTCACGGAAGAGTAGGAAATTAGAATGCATCAGATTACTGAAAATGTATAGGTCTAAAGCCCCTAAAATGTCAAATAATGTGATCGGTTGCCCTTTGGTATCGATTTTTTTTTCTTTGTTTTTGGTGGCAAGCAAATAATACAGCTTGCCAAAATGCAACACTGTACACAGAAATGAAATGCAATTGAATGTAATGTGTGACGCAACTAACATTCTCCCGGAAATGGAAGTGCATAGGTGATCACACTGGAGAGTAGGCCAGATGTTTGAGGGTTAAATTAGCAAGATTATATTTAATAATGATACTAATTAAAGATTGATACCAAACTTAGTACTTATTTAATGTAATTATGTATGTATATATCAAAAATACTTTATATTTAGATAATTTCCTTAATTAAATTTTGGGGTTATTACAATTATAAATGTATCTAGAGATTGCTTTGTGTGATAAATCATAAACACATTACATAATTTACAGCTATCAATGGATCTACTGTATTTAAATTGTTAAGAAATTTATAATTGTGACTGGAATTTAAATTACAGAGAATTTATTTCTTATATTGTTTAGATTATCACATTATATATTTTTTAATTGTGTAAACAATAGAGTTGTCAGTGTAGATGTATTCGGTTGCTAAAACATCCTAATAGCCCATAACTAAACTTTGAACTGTCTCGAAATCATCACATGTTTCTCCTTGGTCGGGTGCCAAAAATTTTCTGCTGCCCTCCATCACATGGACAACAACTTTCTCTAGTCGAGTCAGAATTGGGAAACATTTTGTTGTTAATTTCTTAGAAAAACAAAGAAAATACCTTTTCTTTGTAGCCTACCATTATATCTTAATCAATTTTAAAGGTCACTTCTACTCCAGAAGTCTGTTCTTGGCCTTGGCTGAGCTATAAAATGTTGTAAACAATGGATACAAATAACACATTCCTCTGAAACTGGGATTTTTTTAATTTAGAAAAGAATACGTTTGAGTCTCTATATGCAAAATAGCTCATTAAGATTTCTTTTATAGATTTGCACATTGTTTATTTTTTATCCGAAAAATGCAAAGCAGAAATCGGTCTTTCCTTTGCTTGCAAAAAATATCTTATTTATATTTAAATTTACCTTAATTCTTTTTCCCCCTTTCATTATTTCTATATTTAAATTGAGGATTATATTTATATTGAAGATATTCAAATTGTAATTGTAATTCAAAAATTCTTGATATTTGTAATTATTGGTCGTTAAGTAAATTGCAAATAGGCAAATTTCTTTAGCAATTTCTTGTGTAATCAAGAATGAGGGGAAACTAAGTTATTATAATATAAAAATTTTGATCCCTTTCTCTCTTGTAATTTATTAAGAATCTCAATATTTAAGTAATAGTCTTTAATATATTTACCTCCTTTGATAAAAACTGTAAAAAAAACTTTTGAATTTTTTTAAAGTATTTGCAGGTACTTTGCTTTGTTGTATGATTAGTTTTATCGTAAGCCTAGTGAGTTTTAAAATTAGGCAGAAATTGTCCTGGAGTATCTTCAATATAATTGTTTCTGAATTTACTCGAGTGTTTCTCGAAACAATTCCCTCGCAGTGTGGCTAATTAACTACTTTGATGCCACGTAGCTTGTAAACTGTAGTTCAGATGTGCGGTTATCATCGATCCATTCCATTTTTGCAATTATTGATTTGCCACAACTGGTACAGGACAAAAATATGTAGTGTGTATGGTATGCAATTCTTCTAGTCATGCGATAGTGGATTGACATTTATGCATTGCCCTACTTTATTCCAACTTATAATCGAGAAATGGGACAAAATTGAAATGCAAGAACAGATCTAAATATATCAAATTTTAAAATTTTTCTAGTTGAATTGTGTTTTAACAATATCTCTGTCAAATTTCAGACAGACGTTGGTTAAATTGTTTAAAGAATTGTCTCGTATTGGGTTTTTTATGGGCAAAATTGAGAAATTTTGGATTCTTTGGTGGTTTTATTCTCTTCACTTACTTGCTTAATATCAAAAAAGATAGGAGAAAACCAACAAATTATATTTCTTCTTTTGTTATCTGGCTAGTTTCAAGATATTTATTTTTGCTTATTGTCTTTTAAAATTTATTTATCATAATTTATGTGTAACGAACTTAAGTTTCAGACTCTAAAGAGTAACGATTCTTCGTTAGGTACAATAGTTCTCCCAAACTGAAGCCTTGTTTGGTCAGCCGTCTAGAACAGATCACTGTAAGTGGTGCAAGTTTAACAGACAGTGCTACAACAGTCAGTCCCTCCACTTCTAAGCTTGTGTATAACACAGTCCTCAGAAATAAGTAGGTGTTGATTTTTATTTTTTGTTTTTTTTTACAAGAGAAAATTTACCATACCATAAAGCACTTTAATAATTGTGAATTATTACGGTGCTTTTTGGCAATTTTCAGTTATTAAGGCTTTTCGGCATAACGAAAAGCAAGCTTTCTGAGAATTTTTTAAAATTAAAAGTCTGGTCTTGCCAGATTCGAGATCAGTTTTATTTACCTCAAACTTTTGCTTCTGTTAAATTACGCGTCATATTAAAGATATTTTTTCTATTTTATTTTCAGGAAAAGCATACTAAACGAAACCCTTTTGTGATTTCTTCTTGCAGATCGTGTAATTATCACCCGCATCACCATATGGGTCCGGCTAGGAATCATCTACCCGATCAGTGTATTAACGTATCTAGTCTCATTTTAGATGGGGGCGGTGGCAACGACGAGATGCCCGCGGCCAATCAGAATCCCATCATTCTTCCCAGTAGCGACGAGCGAATCACGTTAATTGTAGACAATACGCATTTCATAGTAGATCCCGCTCTGTTCGCAGCTCATCCCGACACCATGTTGGGGAGGTAAATAACTTTTGTCTTTTTCCTCTCTTTCTCTCTCTTTTACTATGGTGCCAAGTGCTGGTAAATGAATAAATTAACTGCCATATTTCTTATCGTATTTATCTTTTATCTATTTCTTTTTTCATGTATACAGAGTGTGTATAAAGTCCTAATTCCAGTAAGTTATAGCACATTACCTGGCAACTGTATCAGAATGCACTAGGTGTAAGGCAACATGACATACCTGATGGTGGATACTCTTGTCCAGTGTCCGTCTTGATGTAGTTATTCCAGTTGGTCACAAACATTGCAATGACATTGCCTTTATAACACACCCCCACAAATCTTGCAGTTTTTTCTTGTGGGGTTACATAAAGAACAGAGTCATCATGCCTCCTCCGCGTGATCTATACAAATTGCAAGTGAGAATTGAAGAAGCTGTAGCTGTGGTGACACCTGACGTGTTATCCAGAGTGTAACAGGAGTTTTAATACTACATCAGTGTTTGTCACGTTACATGGGCCCTCATACAGTCACTGTAATGTAAACATTATATGAATTGTGAAAAAAAACTACATCTCGTGCCGATTGTGTAACTCATAAAACATTGGCTTAATGTATCGGAGTATTTGACTAAAAATTTGAGATGGACGTTCTTTATAGACACCCTGTATAATATTTGTCTGTGAATACAAAAATAATGCTTGATCAATGCTTGCAAATGTAATGAACATTAATGAATTTTTGAAAAAGTAGTAAATAAATCATTTCAATACATGCATGATATATCAACTGGCATTTAACAATGTCTTGCAGACAAAAACTCTATAAATTAGATCAACACTATTTTTGCCACATGTTCTTTTGTCTCTACAGTGTAGAGATATAAGAATACATGAGCAGATTGTAAAAATATATTCACAAAATTAACATGCTGTATAATGTTTAAATTGTTATAGTTTGACAAATGATTTTGCCTATTTACAGCATAAATTACAATAGAGATGCACAATGAACTACATTTAATCATTATACTGGGTGTTTCAAGCAACATGCCAAGGATTAGACCATTATTTTGCAGCAAGTGTTTGTGCAAATAAGTTTGAGATAGTGAGGAGAATAAGATGAATAGCAATGGAAGCCATAAAACTTGAGCAAGAAATCAGAATTGTAGAGCATTTTTTTGATGCATGGGAGGGTTGCCATTATAACATTGAGCAAAGAGGTTGCTTTGGAGTCTCCAAGGTATTCTATCAGTAGAATTAACCTGGAGTATCATAGAGTAGCATCTATCAAATTTTGCATAGGAAAATTGCAAGTGTGTTCCATACAAGATCTATGTATGGAACACTCATGTTTTCAAGAGATTCCTAAGGAATGGAACAACATAGAACTGATGTGGCGAATGCAATTATCAATCTAATTGATGACGAAGTCACAGACACTTGATTTGTGTGATTTTCGGTGCACTTCCATGTAGATAAGACGTCATTCGGCAATATTATTTATTCTGGGCCACCAAAAATCCCCAGAAATTCATTTAGATGCCAGTTTCCTTCTGAAAACAACTGGGCATCAATGAATCACCAATGCATAATTGGACCAATATTTTTCCATCAGACGAGTACCACTATTTATTCCAACATCCGGAAAAACGAAGTTTTATCATTTTTCATCCAGAAAATTTTTCAACGTGGACAAAACATGGTTTATGCAAGACCACATACCACTAGGATTAATACAGAACTTTTCAGCATTTTTGGCAATCGCTTGATATCCAACAAGGTGTTCCACGTGTTCCAGAGGGACATAGAATGGATTTTTTGTTTGCTAAATCCGAATCTTCGCCACTACTTCCCACGGGCCTATGTAAAGGACAGCGTGTACAAGAAGGACTTGAAAAACCATTGGTGATCTAGAGGAAGTCGTTGGAAGTGTTTCAGAAAACATTTGTACGAGATTGAAAGTTACACCCTCGAAAAAGTTATTTAAAAAATTTTTTTTCAAAACGAGTACAGTTAGTGATCGTGCCAAAGGTGGACACTTCCAGAATGTCTTTTAGTCCGAAAAATAAAACAGACGTGTCTTCGCGTGGACATCAGATTGACGAGTTTACAACAATAACCAATAAATAGTTGGCATATTGCCGGAAAGACCCCGTACTTACACCATATTTATATATACTGTATATATATATATATAATGTTCGATCTATTTTAAATGTTGAATTATGAAGAATTTCATATTGAAATTCTTCATATTCAACGTTTAAAATGGATCGAATAAAATGGATATAGATCCTGTATATAAAACTGTATTTACATATTCTAGATATACTGCTCTGGCCAAAAATTATAATTGTGGGCCAAAGACAAACGTTACCGAAAGGCGACGGTGGAGAATAACTTTTTATGTCGAAGGGTGTTCGTTGGTTTAAAGTTATGCACCGAGAAGATGTTAAAAACGAACGATAAATATCAAAACAAAGGGACAATTTATTGCGGAACGGGCACAGTTTAAAGGAACATTTACTGTCCGGTAGTATTTCCTCTTGCCTGGATACAGGTGGGGTACCGTATTCTGTCAGGCACAAGATTTACACGAAAGTGGCCAAAAGTAGCATCCAACAGACTTCTAGAGACCCCAGTTCAGGGAGATATTACGTCTCCCTCCAGAATAAATCAGGTGGGTAAGACTCCTGCCATCCAACAACGCAGTAAATCATAAAGCTATTTGTCATTTTCCGCCTTCAAAACTCTGTGGACACATACCGCATTACAATACTCGGTAAGAATTTTGGCGGGTTAAACTGACTTGTACTGTGCTTAATCCAGACTTTGACCAGTGCGGACATTGCAAACTTTTCTAGAGAAATTTTAAGAACCACGGGCCCTGGTTTTTTTTAATTACGTATCTTTGCCGGGTCTTGTGTTATGCAGGGCGGTCTAGCGAAATGCCCCTGCCGTCTACGCGCAACGCCTTTTTTTTAAATATAAAAAACAAAAAGATCATTTCACGTATTAAAGCGTTTAGAAATTTTTCTTAATTCTCTACGCCATGTTTTCTTTCGTATTAATTAATTTGAAGGTGGCGGTTTTGACGATTTTCTTTTCTTTTTGCAGGATGTTCGGCTCCTCTCTAGAAAACAATTTCACACGTCCAAACGACAGAGGAGAATACGAAGTGGCGGAAGGAATATCCGCCACTGTCTTCAGAGCCATATTGGTGAGTGTCTGCTTTACCTATTTAATTCGTTCCCGCCAAAAAGCCGTAGCTATTTGCCGACGTCTGTAAATGGGAGGCGCCACCGGTGGCGGGCGAAAACACCCAACGTGGCGGGTTGGCGCCCGGTCACGTGGAGTTTTCCGGGTTTTCTTCACCTTCGTGGCACTCCAATAGAGGTCGGTTTCTTTCGGAAGGTCCTCCCAGGATGCATCTCCCTTCGGCAGATGGACCACCTGTCGCTTTGTAACTGAAATGAATCAAACCGTAAAGGCGGCGAAACCTCACCTTTGGCCTCTTCCCCGTTTGAGAGGAGAAATTGCCACGTGTCTAGCGCCCGCCGATAAATCGTTTCCGGACGTTGGCCAATCGATTGTATTAACCGTGCCACCATTTGTCTTTCTTGCTTTTTTTCTGGCGGTGGTCCAGAAATTTTCCGACGAGAACGGAAGAATGCTCTGTGACGTAAACAAAGTTTTATTTTTCTTTCCCATTCACTCCAATTTGTTTACGGTCTCGTTTCCCGATTCCCGGGTCGGAAGCCTTTCAATTTATCCCAGGTTTCCGCTAGGGAGCGGCTCTTATTCGGCGTTTTGGCCCCGGGAAAACACTAAAATAAATCTTTCGGTGTCTTCGATTCTATAAATTTTTGGAAATGGTCCCTTAGTTTTTCCCTCCCCGAATCTTCGGTATTAATTAAAACACTACAATTTTTTACATTTTTTGGACTCCTGGAGACGTCGAGAAATGGAAGAAATTTAGGGGTTTCTTTTCTGTACAGTACGTACAGATTTTAGCGTATGGGGTTCTTCGAAGTTTAATAATTCTCGTGTCTATTGTCGAAACTTTACGAAACGTTGCGGGATGTTTGGGTTTTAGGGGTTTTGGTGGTTAAAGGTGGAGTGGGGGAGATAAGAGATTTTACTGCCTTTTATAAAAATCGTCTCTACTCAAAATTAAGCTTTTTGCCATTTTATAATAATTAATTAATTGTGTAAAAATTTTTAAATTCCGTAACAGGTGGCGTCGTACGTAATTTTAATTTTTTGCCAGGAAAGTTAGGTAACCGATTTCTGGATATTTTTACGCGCTCGATCTGGGTTTAAAGGCTGCCAAATGATTCCGTGGTAATTGCGGATCTTCTCACTTTTACAACAACGCATTTCTTTGTCTTTTGTTTTCTTCTGTTCGCGTCCAATTGCCAGACTTCCTGAAATCCCGAGAGTTTGTTTCGGTCTCTTCATTCCAGAATGTACCCGGGTTTTTACGACAGATGCGACGTTGGAAGCCGGACGTCCGGTCCTAATATTTTTCACGTGGGATATAGTTTCGGACGGATTCCGCCATTCTTCACGCCGCGGAAATATTGGCGGATTTTTCAAAAGTACTCGGGAACCATAAGGACCCGAGGACAAAGCTGGATCGTCTTCCAGAGGGCGTCACCCGCCGTCGAAAAACCCCTCTTCCTTCGTGACGTCGAGATTTCGTCGTCGATCCCGGGCGACAATCGTTTACCCCCTTCTTTTCGGCGGGAAATTCAAAAATCGCCCGGAAGTTAGGTCCGCAATCCACTCGTGTTTCTCCAGATTGAGGCGAGGAGGGTGGGGTAGAGCCCCTCTACCGCTTACGTCACTACCCGCGTATACACGTCAATCTACGTCGATACGCACTAAGGGGATGTCTAAGAATGTCGGAAAAAGTCCTTTTCTACGCTAGCGGTCGCGCGAACGTGCCTTGCGTCGTGGAAACGTTCGTCGTACTTTATGCATAACCAAGTGTAGAATTATGGGAAGTTAGAAGTGGGTGAAATTTGAGGACGAGTTAACGGATTGAATGCTTTTATTTAACAGGAGTACTACAAAACGGGAGTGGTCAGGTGTCCGCCGAGCGTGTCGGTTCCCGAACTGAGAGAGGCCTGCGATTACCTTTTGGTCCCTTTCGACGCCCAGACCGTCAAGTGCCACAACCTGAGTGAGTACGCGCGCCTTCTTCCACCCGGTGGTTCCCCTTCCTCCTCTCATTCTTCTCTTCCCGCTGTGTTTTCCAGGAGGACTGCTGCACGAGCTGTCTAACGAAGGAGCGCGAAGGCAGTTCGAAAAGTTTCTCGAGGAGCTGCTGCTACCCGTCATGGTCACTTCGGCACAGGTGAGACTCTTTCCCCCTCTCCTCCCGTTGCCTTTTATTTCCTCTGACCTTTCGTTTCGGCCCACAGAAGGGGGACCGCGAGTGCCACATCGTGGTCTTGCTGGACGACGATGTGGTTGACTGGGACGAAAAGTACCCTCCCCAGATGGGCGAAGAGCAGTCTCAAAGTGAGTATACTCGACTTTCCCTTTGCGCCCGCCGGAAGCCGGAAATGACGTGGGGGTTTCTTTGCAGTTATCTACAATTCGGCCATGTACCGTTTCTTCAAATACATCGAAAACCGCGACGTGGCCAAGCAGGTGCTCAAGGAGAGAGGACTCAAGAAGATCCGACTGGGAATCGAAGGTGAGTGACCTTTCGACCCCGGGTCGACGGCTTGGCAGGGCAGACTAACCGGGCGCCGTTGGTTCGCAGGTTACCCCACCTACAAGGAGAAGGTGAAGAGGAGGCCGGGAGGCCGGGCCGAGGTCATCTACAACTACGTGCAGAGACCCTTTCTGCGCATGTCGTGGGAGAAGGAGGAAGCCAAGAGTCGTCACGTGGACTTCCAGTGCGTCAAGAGCAAGTCCATCACCAATCTGGTGGTGGCGGCGGCCGATGGGGCCCTGGAGCCGGCCGTGCCGCCGGCCAACGGGGCGGTGGGAGGAGCGGCCGAGGAGGAGGGGGCGGTGGGCCCGGTGCTGCCGCCGCACCCCTCGCCCAAAGAGCCTTATCCGGAAGTTCGGCTGCCGCCGGAAGATCTTCCCTGAACTTTCCGACCGGCGGCGCGACGCCCGCACTCGCCCTCAGCGGTGGCGACGCCGCCGCCGGCGCCCTCTTTTCGATGTTTTTCCAAATACTACTAATTAAAAAAACTACTAATTCGACTAACGTCGCCCGACGGATAGTCGCGGTTAGCAATGTCATCCGCATCCCCCGTAGCCAGAGTAGCAACTCGTGTCGTAGAGGTTACTAACACCCCAGTCTCTCCCCCTTTAGTGTCTGCGGGCGGAAGGCGCTCGGTGCGTCGCCGACTTTTTTCTATCCGTGTATACGTGCGTGCGTGTGTCTGTCCGTATCGCCGTTCCGGTTTTTTTATATTAACTCTCCGAGGTCGATTCTTTGTGATATAAAAAAACAACAACAAAAGTTTCGGTGGCCGCTTCCGTTCCCTTCGACGTCGGGCGGCGCGGTCCCAGTGGAAGTCGACCTCCCCTCCGGTCGGGGGAGGGAGGAACTTTTCTACCGGCTCCCGTCGACCATTTCGAGAAACAAAGGAAAACAAACAAACAAACAATTTTACACTCGTTCGAACAGAGGAGAAGACGTCTTTTGTTTTTTTTCTCTCGTTCCGGTGTTTTTTCCGTTTCTTGTCGCGGGTTGCGTGTCGCCACTTTCTATGTAAATACTTCTCTCGAACGGTGGCCCTTTGTTTTACATCGTTTTGTTATCGAGGGATATGTCAAAGACGAAATAAAAAACCTCCACCAACGAAACTTGCCTCTGGTTGATTGCCCCCGATTTCCAACTGGTGTCCTAATCGGGAATAACGCGCGCGAGCGACGGATTCTATTTACGTGCTCCGATTTCTGGTCGTTTTACAGACTTATTTGTCGTTAACAATGGGTGGCAAGGTGCCACTGGCCCGATAAACGGCGACGTACGGAACGATTTTCTTTATTATTCGGACAAAGGAAGTATCTACAAGGGGCCGGCGCCGTCCTGTAGCAAAAAACAAAACAAAAACGAAAAAAATACCGCTCTGTACAAAGGTGGGACGGCGCTCGCCCGTACAAATGTACCCGAGATTTGTGTGTATCACTAGACGTTAGAAGACGTCCACTATTCGATAGAGGGCGGTGTGACCGCAGCACCTGGCTCGCAAGTGGTCGACGAAGACGCACGCTTCGGTGACGTAGTCCAAGAGGGTGGCGCACTCGCACACCATGACGTAGTTGATGCCCCGCTCCGGGAAGACCTTCTTGTGAAGGGTAATGCGGGTCAGGCCCAGGTGGCGGGGCAATCGATGGTAGATGAGGTTGGCCCCGGTCCACACCAGCCAGTGGCGCTCCAGTTTCTCGCGGTCCTCCCCGGGAAAGACTCGAAAGGCCGAGATGATGAAGCCCACGTTGGAGGCCCCCGACGGCAGGGCCTCGTCCTCGGGCCCGTCCACCGCCGCCACCTCTTCGTAGCCGGCTGCAAAAAATTAAAAATATCCTTTAGAAATTCCTGGCCGGGCGGTACTCTCGCGTGCGCGACCACCGGACGTGCGTAATTTATCGGAGCCGGCAGAAGCGTAACGGGGGCCTCTCCCCGTTCGGCCGGAGGAAAGGCCCCACCCGACCTTAAACGGGGCGTGTAATCGAATTTTATAAGAGGATAGGGGCTGCCAAACCGCATTCCCTTGGCTCTATTTTTAGACATTTGGCCGCGATTCGAGTGCCGTTCGAAAGTGTCGCGTTGCGAGCGCGTGCCTTACCTATGTGATGAAGCTGGTCGTGTTCTTGCGAGCCCACGGTGCTCTCCAGGTGGAATACCAACCGGTGCAGCTCGGCCCTTCCCGTCTTCGGCACCACGTACGTCACGAAAGGGAACTGACCTGCCACGACACAAAAAAATGACGTTAGCGCGGGGTCCGGGCAGACCGGAAGCGGAAACGCGAGGTACTCCGAGAAAAACTACGTCATTACTTACGAAGACACGACCGAGCGCGTTACGAAATTATCACGTCACGTTAATAGTTCGTAGCGTGGGAGGGAGATTTTTCGAGTACTGCTGGTTTATATCGAGTTTCGAATTAATGTTCGCACGCTCCGCTAAAAAAATTGCACTTCCGGTGACATTTCGTCGTACGGTCTTCTCCGAGAAAGGTGTTAATAGATTTCGTATAAGAGACGAATGGAGAGTATTTTTCGCCCATCGATAGCCAATGAGAATTCCGATATCGAGACGACTACGTAATTCCTTACCCGACGAAACCTAACACCAGACATAGGAAACTCGTATTGTTATTTACAAGAAAGACAGCCGAATCGCTGGCGAAGAGGTTTCGTGGACCGTTTCCCCGACGGATAGACCATAGCCTCGTTTTCAAACAAGCCAAGGCCTCCTGTAATTTGTTCTTTTTCTAATAAAACTTTGGTGATTTACTCCCAAGGAAAGAATTCGTCTTCGTTTATTCGACACGTGACGGAAGGAGCAGTTCCTTCCGTCCAATTAAGGACAAACAATAAGAGATCGTCTCCGTAATCCTACCGAAAGTGCGTGTTCGACGCGTGCAAAATACTAGTATGACGTTATTCCGCGTAATTAACCCCCAAGACCTTTAAACTCGATTCGGCGTCTACGCGTACGAGACTTTTTGACTATTAACCCGGCGACCGAATTAAATGACGTGGGATTAATTAAAGCCGGGTTTATAATGGCTCATCCGAGAGTCGTCGGTTGGCTCCTCCCCTGCTACATATTAATTACGTCGCGTGCGCGGTCGGAGAAAGAAACGGCGCCGTCCCGAAGGACCCGAGCGATCGATGGAAGCCCCGCCCGACGGTAATTACGCCGAGGGCGTGGCCGGAGAAAGATAATTTTTTTTAATTTGGCGACGCGGTCACGGATCCGGAGGCGTGGCCGGACGTTACCCCGCCCGCGCATCCCGGCCGGCGGCGCCGCCACGCGACGCGGCGCGCGAGAGGGACTTACTGGTTCTCTCCACGTCCATCAGGAGCAGTCCTTCGCTGTCGGGGTTAGACTCGCGGAAGAACTCGAAGGCCTTCCGGGTCAGCTGGCAGGTGGCGGTCAACCCGGCGGCCGGCGACGCGTCCGACGAACCCGCGTTCTCCGCCAGGTCGATGATGACGCAATCCCTGTGAGTCGCCCGGCCGGAAACGCTCTCCTGAAACAGAAAGAGGGTGGTCATGGCCCGGCAGCGGTCCCCCGTTGCCTCACACGCGCTGCACGAATCGACGGCGCTTTCCTCTTTGGGCACGACGCGTTCAATCGTCCTTCCGACGTCACCAACCTTAGCGGCTTGCGTCGCTCCTCGCATTTAGATCTCGTCGTCTACCGACGCGAGATCCCAGATAAAACAACGCAGCGGCCGTTCTCGTCTTCTTCCCTAATTTGGAGCGTTGGCGACTTCCCCGGCCGACATTATTCTACGCCACGACGCGTAAAGTTCGTAACGAACCGGAAAACGACGCGCGTAGCCTTTCGGTGGATTTCGGCTTTCCCGGTTGCCGTTGCCGGCGCCGGTCGCCGGATTAGACGCCGCGACGCGAGGCGAAAGAAGGAAAAAAGGCGGCGAAAGGTCGAGTTGGAAGCGTTCCAGAACAATTAAAAGACACCGCCTCCGCCGACAGGTGACGGCGGCGGCGATGGATCTCTTACCTTGGTCCTCGCATCGCATCCTCGGTGTTCCACGGCCACCATCCATCGCGCGGCGTCGTCAGGCGCGTCGTGGAAAAGCGACGCTTCCTCGGGATCGATGGCATCAGGCGAGTAGGGCCCGGGGTCGCGCAGGCCCTGCGCCACACCGAAGTCTCCGGGGGGCGGCGACGCGTCGGGCGAGCGAGGCGCGTAGACGTCGTCCGGCCGGTGCGCGTAGTCCGACGGTTGGAACTGTTCCCGGCAGTAGTTGGCCAGTTCCGGCGGCAAAACGGGGGGAGGCAGGTTGAAGAAGTCGTCGAAGTTGGTGGGCAGGTGTCTCCTGGTGGGGCCCGGCTGGTACTTGCAGGTGTCGGTCGACCTCCGGCTGATGCGGGGGGGCCTGACGGGCCTCTCGGAGGCCGAACGACCCAGTTCGGGCCGCAGCGACGAGAATCCCGAGGCTGCGGGGTGCGAGTCCTGCTTCCTGTGCATTGCGCGGTCCATGCGAAAGAACAAATGGGTGCTGAGGTGCCTGCTGCCTCTGCCCGGATAAGGATCCATTTTTAGGCCATTTCGGCATTCGTCCTTCCGGCCCCGCTTCCGTCCTTTGTTGTTGCCGTCTCGCAGCGTCTCCGTGCAGATGGAGGCCGACAAACCATCACTCGCTTTGTTCGTGGCTGGCGAAAGCGAAAAAACTACGCGGACGATAAATAAAAACCTCTTTCTTGGCTTGGCCGACTCGCTGGCAGACGACCAACCTCTGGCTGACGGACCGGCCTGGCTTCTGTCGCCTAGCAACCCGCAACGCCCTCTGCCAGACCGAATCTCCCGACGTAATTACCCAAACCATGGGAAAAAAAATACGAAAAAATTACAGGCTTCGTAAAAACGCGAAGACGCCGGAGATTTCCTTCTGCCAAAATAAACTTACGCCAAGATCCGGTTAACGCTTCGACCATTTTTTAATAGCGTGTCGTTGCGTGCGTCGTAATGTTTAAAAATAAATTATCGCGTCGTCGCCGTCGACCGACTCGCCCGCTTCCAAACATTTCATCGCCAGATGGAGCCACTACCTAATGGAACTTCCGTTACGAGCTGGAAAACGTTGCGCGCGTTTTCCGACCCGCCATTTTCGTACTTTAACCGACGTTACGCATTTTTGGGAGCCGTCGAATTGGACTGGCGCTTCTTAAACTTAATTCCACGACGTTTCCAAACGTTACGCGTAACCGATACATCACCCACCGCGCTCCGAAACATAATTAGCGTTTACACGCATTCGGGCCATCCGTTTTAACGTCGCGTGCTCAGAGATTAACCTCTTTAAAAGGGCAACGCGTCATCCCGCACGAATTTACATAATGAATGTCAAACTGTGTCGTTTACGGGTCGATCGATGGTAAAACACGTCGACGTTCAAATCCGATTTAAGCGGGCGCGCCCCTGTAAATTCCGCTTTCCGCCGGGCATCCAGGTAAAAGGAGAATCCAGCTTATCCCGATCGATCCCGTCCCGTAATGCATTAGGCAATGATAAATTGCCTTTGGCTACGATCAGAAATTACGCGGATCAAAAGGATAAACGTCTATTGCGTTCTATAAATGAAACGTCCGTCCGCGTGTGGAGAATTGACGGAAGGTAGAGAAGCCAGCTCAAATTCTGTAAACAAGTTTAGACTCGTGTGGCCGGATGACCTCGAGTCTAAACTTTTATTGTAGCCACCCGTTATACTTATTTGCATCACGTAACACTCAGTCACATGCATTTGGGAAGGCCTCCACATACCCGATACAAACGAGTGTGGTGTGATCCCCGGTAGGACCTTTGAAACGTACAGATTTGCAAAGGCTCTCCCGTAAGACAGAGGAAGCGAACAATAATTATAAAAATCGGCGTTAAAGCAAAAAAAGTATAATTTTATTTGCCTATATTTATTTGTTTTTGTACAGGTTGTTGTAAACCTAAAGAACATTATAAAACTTCATAAATACAATATCAGACTATCAACACAATTCAACAAAACACTATTAGTGGACGAGGCAATAAACTTTACTAACAGCAGACAAATAATAATAATAATAATAATGGTAAGGGGAATTTATCAAATGCTTCATTTAAGACGGTCTGCACCAGTGTCTAGACGTAAAAATTTGAGCACGTTCTTCTAATCTATACACCAAACCAATGAAAAAAAATGTTAACGCGCATTGCACTGACGTCCGTCCGTCCGTCGGGGGAGAGGGCAGAATATATTCCGATCGCAGCCATTGATTTTAAATGCCGGACATTTAAAAAAAAAGTCGACAATTTCGGTTAAGTTGGGCGAATTTCTCGCCTTAGATCGTGCGAGTGCAGACCGACGGGACGAATCACTTAAAAACCGGGCGGTAATGAAAATAATAAGCGTGTAACGAGCTTCGCGATTGGTTGTCGGGTGCGCGCGACGATAACCACGACGTGGTTCTCGAACCCGGAGCGCTAAGTAAAAAAGATGGCGAAATCCTAAGTTTTGTAAACGGATCGAAAACGAGAAAAATTAGCCGAAAATTCGAACCCGATATTTTTCTTCTCTTTTGGATTTTAAGGCACTTTAAAGCAGGCACTCGAGCCTTATTTTTTCGACGCACGCGCTCTTCGACGTGGAAGGCAAAGAAAATTTGTCGGTGGTCGACGGTAAAATTACGAGTAATTTTAACGTAGTCTACACCTCCTGTTACCTTGTTACTGTGTAAAGAAGTCTATTGCAGCACTTTCGTCCTTCGACTTTTATATACGTGTTTAATGTTTTATATAAAAGTTCGGATGCGAGACGGGAGAGAGAATATGTTACTAAGTGTTTTTTTTTGTTTGCCTTTTATCTAGAATACTTATTTGGATAGTTTGCTGATAACTCTTAACAGCGCTCCATTTTCTTCTCTCAGCCTCTGGTTATCCAGTTTCAGTTGTTCTGTCTCCTGAAAGACAAAAATAGTCGGAAAGTGAAAAAACCTGCACGCTTCCGATCGATATATTAATTTTAATATTCTGTAAGTGCTAGCTTTTGTAATTAATTAAAAATATACCAAGTCTCGTAATGAAATTAAGCTTAAGGATAAAAAAAAAACTGTTTTTGGGCTATTAATAGGCTACCTTTGAAACCGTCTACCGTGACAACTTGTCTCTCAGTTTGACGAATATCGCCGATACAGGCGCTTCTAATTATTATTAATGTTATTGATATCAAAGACGACTTCTCCCCAATGAATACTTATTATATTTAAAACAACTAGCCTAATTCGGCGGACTTTTTCGCCGTTTCGGTGTATTAAGATTTTTAAACGCGAACTTGTGTGAGATTAAACCAAACCATAGAAAGTTCTTGGACTATATTTAGGCTAATAAAGAATTCAACTATTATTATAATTCGCTATTTCGGTGAACCGAAGCGCCGCCTGTCGATAATGTTTAATTATTAATGTTATTGAAAGACGGCGACTGTGTTCTATAAGTGACAAATTGCCTTCTTTCCGTAGCCCAAAAATAGCCCGATAAAAAATCGTTTTTTCTTCGTTTGGTTTAATAGGAAAGGGGTGTAAATATTTCTAAAAAAAATCTAATTTTTGTTTAAAAATATACAATTAAAACTGCTGTTTAATCTAATTATCAAACTACAAAGCAAAAAAATCTAGCATCTAAAACTATTAAAAAATCTCACAGCTTGCATGCCCAAAAAATTTATACATAAAAGTGGATGGTTGAAAAATAATTTCAAAAACAAAATATACACAAAAAAAGGACCAAAATTTTACAAAATTCAATTCGCTATTTTCTGTGTGATAAGAGAATGAGTTAAAATGGAATTATCTGATCCCATTATTTTCTAATTACTTAGAACCACATATTCACCATTTTAGGCGTTCAATACATAATTAAAAAAAAGCTATGGCATACGATTCCCGGCTAAGCCAGAATTTCGAAAATGTTCTCATACCTATTTTGCATAACTGAATAATACTTGAGATAAAGACTTGTTTTCCGTTTTAAGTATCTCATTTTCCACCTTTATTTTGGCAATTTTCTGAAACAGAATCAGACATCACTTATTCTGAAAGTATGAATTTGTGACTTATAGTTTTCTTTTTCTAAGGAAACAAAACAACAACAACAACAACTAAAGCCAAGTAGCTAAGCACAGGCAATGGTATTTTGTTAGACAGGAATGCATGCCAAAGCTTTAGTTTGTCTGTTTTTAGGCATACTTCGTTTCTCTTATCTATTGGAAACACTCGGCCACTATGTAATGACAGCCACTACGTATAGAGCACATTTCTCAAGCAATGTTCCAGTACAACAATCGTTCGTTGTGGTGCGTCATTCTAAATACGCCACCACGTAACAACCAAATGCGTCACAACACATGTTAATACATAATGCAGATTCTCCTTTAGCCTCTCAACCATAACTGGAGTGTTTAAATATAGTTAAAAAGCATTTGAATATGGGACTGTCCGCATCAAATGCGCTCTCGTATTCACATATTCCTCGTTACAAACAGCCTCTCTTTAATTTGAGACGTGTAAGGAGATTGAAATTCATGCTTTAAAATATTTTAATGTTGCTATAAGCACGAACAGTATTAATATTGAATTTTACTAATGGAAGATTATATATCAAAAGCAATATGTAATTTTTGTTCTAATGAATCATCCCACCTTTAATTCCTCTTCTAGTTCCGATATCTTCCTTTCCAAAGATCTTCGTTCCTGTTACGAAAAAAATTAATTTTAGATTTTAAAAAAAAAGCATGTTTAAATGATTAATAGATTTCTATAACAAGAATTAAAAAAATAAGTAAAAATAATTTTAAAAATTACTTTTTTAATAAATATTTTATGACCGATATTTGTCGAGGTGGTATAATACGGCATCCACGATACATATTTGGAAATGACTCACAAATGACTAAATATTATGCAACCTCACGTCATTTGCGCAGCTGTGAATGTCTGTCATTTGGATAAAGCTTTTCTTTTAGATAAAAACAGAAAATGAACTGTTTTTCAAATAATTTTGTGTGTTTGTGGCATTTTCTGTTGACTAGAATTTTGAAAAAAATCCTGTTGTGTGAAATATCTGAAGGTTTCTTTCATTCCAACTTCATTAGTAAAAAAAAAATTTTTTAATTTTATCTAATAAATTTTTTATTTGGTACCTTTTGTGCTGATTTTTTCTTTTATTTTAGAAAGATTTGCAATTTGTGAAATGAAGTTACTTGGATTCTTCGTAATTCAATAAGAATTTTAGAACATTTTTCAACTTAACGATCTAAATATAAGATAAAATATACTCTTAACACTCAAATCATTCAATTTCTAGTAATAATATGTATATGCTGTTAAAAAGAAATATACGTGACTCGCCTACAACATGTTCACGAATTTCAAATTATTGAAGTAATACTACGATGCACCTAAAAAACAAAACAGAGAAGTCACTGGTAGATATACACAATTTAAAGCTTCCTACTCTTGCTTTTCTATGATTTTTATTATACTTTTGTTAAAATGTTAAAATGCGTCACTGAGAACCATACACTCTTCTGATATAACTTAACCTGGGAGTAGATATCTATCTTGGTATTTCCCATCATTCTTGACAGATTTTAAAATCTGTATATTAAATAATTGACACTAATAATAGATTTATAATAACAAAGTAGTTACAGAAAAAATTAAACGTTTGAAAAGTTTCGACTCACCCTTTTTTCTGCGTCACTTAAAGAATTCCTGCTGTTATTCTACATGCAAAAATTCAAAACATGTTTTAGTCAAACAATTAAAAAAATAAATGTAACTAGTGTAAAAAAGCTGTTTACCTGTAGTGCTTTTTGTAACTGCTGTTTTGTATTATCTAATTCTACTTCTACTTTCTTTAATCTATCTTTTAGAGTTTTATTTTCGTCTTTCATTTGGTGATATAACTGTAAATAAATATTTTTAAAAAATTATTGTCACAGTCATAAACATACTTAAATGTAAATATTTATCAAATTATTTTAAACAATTATAAATAATTATTTTCATTAAAAACTCTGTATTATTCTAAGTCATTAAAAGATACACCACAAAATTATATTCACTCTGATTACAATACAAATAATACATGGTCTGTTCAAATTCTGAAACATTTCAATAGCATGCCAATTTGATCTGGCAACAATGCACATTGAGTACCAGTGATCTTTCATAACCTGCCGGGTCATCATCTTATTCTGCCACAATTAGTTTTTGTGCTACATATTTTTGTTTACGTGAATGTAGAGGGTAGTCTGCAATTTGTAAGATGATGGAAATACAGGAACAGCATCAAATTTTGCAGAAAGCATGAGGAAAAAAACATTTATGGAGACCAATGAAACTTTGAAGCAGGTTTATAGCAATAAATATCTTATTAGTACATGGTGTTGCAAGGGGTTTGAGAGATTTCAGGATGGTCGGCAGACAGAAGACAATGACCCATGGGAGGAATGACCAACTTCATCTGACAATGAAAACATTGCATAAGTTCAGGAAGACATGCATTCTAATCATCATTTCACAGTTCAGGATATTGCTGAGTGCATCTCAATATCCAATCATTTCAATCATGCCACAGCATTCTCAAGGAAAAATTGCAGATGCCTTGTGTCACTGCTATACAACTCCTGGCACAAGATCAGAGATACATTTGGATTGGCATTGGTCAGGATCTTTTAGATTGTGCCAACAAAAATGAAACCTTCGTGAAAAGAATCATTACCAGCAACGAAACTTGAGTGTATGAATATGACATGGACACAAAAAGGAAATCATTGTATTTAGTTGGGAAAACATCACCACAGCTGAATAAAATGTAAAAGCTCAGGTCAAAGGTAAAAGTCATGCTGACAGCGTTTTTTGACATCAAAGGCATTGTGCATCTCAAATTCTTACCAGATGGACAAACACTGAATCAGAGCTATTATCTGTAAGTGCTAAGGAGCCTAAGAGAAAGTCTCAGAAAGAAAAGACCTGAACTATGAATCCTGCATCAATGTGTCAGAACATTCATATCTTCTGATTCACAACTTCTTACATAAAACAGGAAAACTAGCACTTTCCCATCCACCCTATTCACCTAACCTCATTCCTGCAGACTTTTTCCTATTCCCTATGCTGAAATCCAGTGTGAAAGAACATAGATTTCATATAATTGAAGACATCAAGAAAAATTCACAGGGACACCTATGAGAAATTCTAAAAAATGCTTACCAGACGTGCTTCCAGAAATGGCAGCACCACTGGAAGCAGTGTATTGATAAATGAGAGTACAGTAATACCTCGACTTACGCGAACCCGGAGTTACGCAATTTTCAAATCTCGTCGATTTGTCTTCTGTTTGAGTGCCACGCAACTCTTGATTACTCACTCCCCTCATACTATTGTTCAGCTTACATGTTCGGATGTGTCGCGCGGAATCGACACATAGCTACAATTTATTTTGTGTTATTTATTTCTGTGTTTGTTATATCTACAGAGACTTGAGAGACTCTATATGCTGATTTCTTGTAACCGTGAACGAATCAGATGAGATAAGGTTAACGAGAACATTTATTAGCTTACATACATCCCACTTGGATTTTACACAAATTGCGAAATTATACCCCGACTTACGCGAATTCGACTTACACGGTCATCGCTCGGTCCCACCTATCGCGTAAGTTTGGGGTATTACTGTACTTTGAAGTAAAACAACAGGATGTCCAAAAAATGAAGAAAAAATAAGTTCCGGAACTTTTTGAACAGATCACGTATAATCACATCTGACAATCACATCAGAAGAAAAGCCATGCAAAATACTAGTTTTAATTATTTAGTACAAGAAAGTCTTACCTTTTTATAGTCTTTTTCTATCTCTTTCCTATCGCTGTCTCTTTTCAAACCGACATTGCCAGTCCAGCCAATGCACTCACTGCTCTCTGAAGAGGAAGACATGATGTCTTTCCTCTTCTCTGCCTGCAATGAAAATTTAGTAATTGAAACTATTAATTTTAGAATAACATGCAACTTAAACTTAGAAAGATGTTTGGCCGAACGAGGCTAATGAAGCAATGATCCACTTTGCCTATTTAATCAATTATATCTTTTGAGATGTAATTGATAATGATTAAGTCTCACCTACAATAATTAAATGATTTTAATTTATAAATATTTATCACTTCCTTTTTACTTCATTTTTAAATTAAAATATACCACATCATTAAAGTACCAGGTAATTATAATTAAAGTGCTCCAATTCAATGTTGTCTAGAAAGATAAATAACAATTCAAATCCAATCAAATCCAGTACAGCTCTGCTGGGCAAATTTTAGTCATTTTGAGGTTATTGGGAACAAGAAATTCTTAAGAAAGTTGGTAAAAAGGTTAAATTGAGAAGACATTTTCATTTAAGTTTAATCTATTCATAAAATAATGATAATATACAATTTTCAGACTTCTATTAATGTATGACAGGAGTGAAGATATACATGCATTAGATAAAAACAAATAAAACTGATTGTATTGTATTTACCATTTGTTTTATTTAATACTAAAAAACTTAAATGTTAACATCTTTACATTATATATATGTAATGAATTACACATAACAACAGCTAGTACTTGCCAGAGACCACCACCAAATCCTGGCACTAAAGGTCACATGGCTGCTGCTGCTGTCCTGCCTCACCACGTGCAGAGGCCCACAGGTCATTTTGAAATCATTGTCCAATAGGATCCCTAAAAAAAATGAAAATTTGGCCTCTCCCATTTTTATTGAATAATAACTCTGTTCCATTTGACCATTAGCTTCATATATGTAAATAAAAGACATTTACAAATACACCATGTACAAAAAAAAAAAAAAAAAATTAAAATAGGAATGGCAGCACCAGAAACAAAATTTTCAAAGTCAGTAGGAAGGTGAAACTTCTTAGTCTTATTATAAAATATTTAATATGTCTTGCATCATAGAAATCAACTGGATAAATTTTAATAAACAAACAGTTGAAAATCTATAAGATGTTACATATCTAATTGAGTGCCTTAAAATATGTAACTGTCCCACAATTTTCACAAATTGTGTATTTTTAATAAATTTTTTGTAACCAGACGGAAGTTTTTGTCTTATTCACTAATATTACAGAAATGAATCTCTCTAAAGATTGGTTCTATGATTCAAAAAGCAAGGAAAAAGAGGACTAACCTTTAATTCTGGTTCTTCTTGACTGCTCTCAGACTTTTCTTCCTTGGATTCTGTCGTATTGGCACTTTCCTGATTTTCCTATAAAGTTAAATCATTGTTGGTTATTAAGGAACTTCAATAATTCTTTACTACAAATTATAAAGCCAACAAACTCAATCCCTAAATGGCTTTAATAATTTATTACTTTTCTAAATGAGGCTCTCTAAAACATTANTTCATAAATACTATATCAGACTATCAACACAATTCAACAAAACACTATTAGTGGACGAGGCAATAAACTTTACTAACAGCAGACAAATAATAATAATAATAATAATGGTAAGGGGAATTTATCAAATGCTTCATTTAAGACGGTCTGCACCAGTGTCTAGACGTAAAAATTTGAGCACGTTCTTCTAATCTATACACCAAACCAATGAAAAAAAATGTTAACGCGCATTGCACTGACGTCCGTCCGTCCGTCGGGGGAGAGGGCAGAATATATTCCGATCGCAGCCATTGATTTTAAATGCCGGACATTTAAAAAAAAAGTCGACAATTTCGGTTAAGTTGGGCGAATTTCTCGCCTTAGATCGTGCGAGTGCAGACCGACGGGACGAATCACTTAAAAACCGGGCGGTAATGAAAATAATAAGCGTGTAACGAGCTTCGCGATTGGTTGTCGGGTGCGCGCGACGATAACCACGACGTGGTTCTCGAACCCGGAGCGCTAAGTAAAAAAGATGGCGAAATCCTAAGTTTTGTAAACGGATCGAAAACGAGAAAAATTAGCCGAAAATTCGAACCCGATATTTTTCTTCTCTTTTGGATTTTAAGGCACTTTAAAGCAGGCACTCGAGCCTTATTTTTTCGACGCACGCGCTCTTCGACGTGGAAGGCAAAGAAAATTTGTCGGTGGTCGACGGTAAAATTACGAGTAATTTTAACGTAGTCTACACCTCCTGTTACCTTGTTACTGTGTAAAGAAGTCTATTGCAGCACTTTCGTCCTTCGACTTTTATATACGTGTTTAATGTTTTATATAAAAGTTCGGATGCGAGACGGGAGAGAGAATATGTTACTAAGTGTTTTTTTTTGTTTGCCTTTTATCTAGAATACTTATTTGGATAGTTTGCTGATAACTCTTAACAGCGCTCCATTTTCTTCTCTCAGCCTCTGGTTATCCAGTTTCAGTTGTTCTGTCTCCTGAAAGACAAAAATAGTCGGAAAGTGAAAAAACCTGCACGCTTCCGATCGATATATTAATTTTAATATTCTGTAAGTGCTAGCTTTTGTAATTAATTAAAAATATACCAAGTCTCGTAATGAAATTAAGCTTAAGGATAAAAAAAAAACTGTTTTTGGGCTATTAATAGGCTACCTTTGAAACCGTCTACCGTGACAACTTGTCTCTCAGTTTGACGAATATCGCCGATACAGGCGCTTCTAATTATTATTAATGTTATTGATATCAAAGACGACTTCTCCCCAATGAATACTTATTATATTTAAAACAACTAGCCTAATTCGGCGGACTTTTTCGCCGTTTCGGTGTATTAAGATTTTTAAACGCGAACTTGTGTGAGATTAAACCAAACCATAGAAAGTTCTTGGACTATATTTAGGCTAATAAAGAATTCAACTATTATTATAATTCGCTATTTCGGTGAACCGAAGCGCCGCCTGTCGATAATGTTTAATTATTAATGTTATTGAAAGACGGCGACTGTGTTCTATAAGTGACAAATTGCCTTCTTTCCGTAGCCCAAAAATAGCCCGATAAAAAATCGTTTTTTCTTCGTTTGGTTTAATAGGAAAGGGGTGTAAATATTTCTAAAAAAAATCTAATTTTTGTTTAAAAATATACAATTAAAACTGCTGTTTAATCTAATTATCAAACTACAAAGCAAAAAAATCTAGCATCTAAAACTATTCAAAAATCTCACAGCTTGCATGCCCAAAAAATTTATACATAAAAGTGGATGGTTGAAAAATAATTTCAAAAACAAAATATACACAAAAAAAGGACCAAAATTTTACAAAATTCAATTCGCTATTTTCTGTGTGATAAGAGAATGAGTTAAAATGGAATTATCTGATCCCATTATTTTCTAATTACTTAGAACCACATATTCACCATTTTAGGCGTTCAATACATAATTAAAAAAAAGCTATGGCATACGATTCCCGGCTAAGCCAGAATTTCGAAAATGTTCTCATACCTATTTTGCATAACTGAATAATACTTGAGATAAAGACTTGTTTTCCGTTTTAAGTATCTCATTTTCCACCTTTATTTTGGCAATTTTCTGAAACAGAATCAGACATCACTTATTCTGAAAGTATGAATTTGTGACTTATAGTTTTCTTTTTCTAAGGAAACAAAACAACAACAACAACAACAACTAAAGCCAAGTAGCTAAGCACAGGCAATGGTATTTTGTTAGACAGGAATGCATGCCAAAGCTTTAGTTTGTCTGTTTTTAGGCATACTTCGTTTCTCTTATCTATTGGAAACACTCGGCCACTATGTAATGACAGCCACTACGTATAGAGCACATTTCTCAAGCAATGTTCCAGTACAACAATCGTTCGTTGTGGTGCGTCATTCTAAATACGCCACCACGTAACAACCAAATGCGTCACAACACATGTTAATACATAATGCAGATTCTCCTTTAGCCTCTCAACCATAACTGGAGTGTTTAAATATAGTTAAAAAGCATTTGAATATGGGACTGTCCGCATCAAATGCGCTCTCGTATTCACATATTCCTCGTTACAAACAGCCTCTCTTTAATTTGAGACGTGTAAGGAGATTGAAATTCATGCTTTAAAATATTTTAATGTTGCTATAAGCACGAACAGTATTAATATTGAATTTTTTTTTATAAATATTTATATTTATTTACTAATGGAAGATTATATATCAAAAGCAATATGTAATTTTTGTTCTAATGAATCATCCCACCTTTAATTCCTCTTCTAGTTCCGATATCTTCCTTTCCAAAGATCTTCGTTCCTGTCACGAAAAAAATTAATTTTAGATTTTAAAAAAAAAGCATGTTTAAATGATTAATAGATTTCTATAACAAGAATTAAAAAAATAAGTAAAAATAATTTTAAAAATTACTTTTTTAATAAATATTTTATGACCGATATTTGTCGAGGTGGTATAATACGGCATCCACGATACATATTTGGAAATGACTCACAAATGACTAAATATTATGCAACCTCACGTCATTTGCGCAGCTGTGAATGTCTGTCATTTGGATAAAGCTTTTCTTTTAGATAAAAACAGAAAATGAACTGTTTTTCAAATAATTTTGTGTGTTTGTGGCATTTTCTGTTGACTAGAATTTTGAAAAAAATCCTGTTGTGTGAAATATCTGAAGGTTTCTTTCATTCCAACTTCATTAGTAAAAAAAAAATTTTTTAATTTTATCTAATAAATTTTTTATTTGGTACCTTTTGTGCTGATTTTTTCTTTTATTTTAGAAAGATTTGCAATTTGTGAAATGAAGTTACTTGGATTCTTCGTAATTCAATAAGAATTTTAGAACATTTTTCAACTTAACGATCTAAATATAAGATAAAATATACTCTTAACACTCAAATCATTCAATTTCTAGTAATAATATGTATATGCTGTTAAAAAGAAATATACGTGACTCGCCTACAACATGTTCACGAATTTCAAATTATTGAAGTAATACTACGATGCACCTAAAAAACAAAACAGAGAAGTCACTGGTAGATATACACAATTTAAAGCTTCCTACTCTTGCTTTTCTATGATTTTTATTATACTTTTGTTAAAATGTTAAAATGCGTCACTGAGAACCATACACTCTTCTGATATAACTTAACCTGGGAGTAGATATCTATCTTGGTATTTCCCATCATTCTTGACAGATTTTAAAATCTGTATATTAAATAATTGACACTAATAATAGATTTATAATAACAAAGTAGTTACAGAAAAAATTAAACGTTTGAAAAGTTTCGACTCACCCTTTTTTCTGCGTCACTTAAAGAATTCCTGCTGTTATTCTACATGCAAAAATTCAAAACATGTTTTAGTCAAACAATTAAAAAAATAAATGTAACTAGTGTAAAAAAGCTGTTTACCTGTAGTGCTTTTTGTAACTGCTGTTTTGTATTATCTAATTCTACTTCTACTTTCTTTAATCTATCTTTTAGAGTTTTATTTTCGTCTTTCATTTGGTGATATAACTGTAAATAAATATTTTTAAAAAATTATTGTCACAGTCATAAACATACTTAAATGTAAATATTTATCAAATTATTTTAAACAATTATAAATAATTATTTTCATTAAAAACTCTGTATTATTCTAAGTCATTAAAAGATACACCACAAAATTATATTCACTCTGATTACAATACAAATAATACATGGTCTGTTCAAATTCTGAAACATTTCAATAGCATGCCAATTTGATCTGGCAACAATGCACATTGAGTACCAGTGATCTTTCATAACCTGCCGGGTCATCATCTTATTCTGCCACAATTAGTTTTTGTGCTACATATTTTTGTTTACGTGAATGTAGAGGGTAGTCTGCAATTTGTAAGATGATGGAAATACAGGAACAGCATCAAATTTTGCAGAAAGCATGAGGAAAAAAACATTTATGGAGACCAATGAAACTTTGAAGCAGGTTTATAGCAATAAATATCTTATTAGTACATGGTGTTGCAAGGGGTTTGAGAGATTTCAGGATGGTCGGCAGACAGAAGACAATGACCCATGGGAGGAATGACCAACTTCATCTGACAATGAAAACATTGCATAAGTTCAGGAAGACATGCATTCTAATCATCATTTCACAGTTCAGGATATTGCTGAGTGCATCTCAATATCCAATCATTTCAATCATGCCACAGCATTCTCAAGGAAAAATTGCAGATGCCTTGTGTCACTGCTATACAACTCCTGGCACAAGATCAGAGATACATTTGGATTGGCATTGGTCAGGATCTTTTAGATTGTGCCAACAAAAATGAAACCTTCGTGAAAAGAATCATTACCAGCAACGAAACTTGAGTGTATGAATATGACATGGACACAAAAAGGAAATCATTGTATTTAGTTGGGAAAACATCACCACAGCTGAATAAAATGTAAAAGCTCAGGTCAAAGGTAAAAGTCATGCTGACAGCGTTTTTTGACATCAAAGGCATTGTGCATCTCAAATTCTTACCAGATGGACAAACACTGAATCAGAGCTATTATCTGTAAGTGCTAAGGAGCCTAAGAGAAAGTCTCAGAAAGAAAAGACCTGAACTATGAATCCTGCATCAATGTGTCAGAACATTCATATCTTCTGATTCACAACTTCTTACATAAAACAGGAAAACTAGCACTTTCCCATCCACCCTATTCACCTAACCTCATTCCTGCAGACTTTTTCCTATTCCCTATGCTGAAATCCAGTGTGAAAGAACATAGATTTCATATAATTGAAGACATCAAGAAAAATTCACAGGGACACCTATGAGAAATTCTAAAAAATGCTTACCAGACGTGCTTCCAGAAATGGCAGCACCACTGGAAGCAGTGTATTGATAAATGAGAGTACAGTAATACCTCGACTTACGCGAACCCGGAGTTACGCAATTTTCAAATCTCGTCGATTTGTCTTCTGTTTGAGTGCCACGCAACTCTTGATTACTCACTCCCCTCATACTATTGTTCAGCTTACATGTTCGGATGTGTCGCGCGGAATCGACACATAGCTACAATTTATTTTGTGTTATTTATTTCTGTGTTTGTTATATCTACAGAGACTTGAGAGACTCTATATGCTGATTTCTTGTAACCGTGAACGAATCAGATGAGATAAGGTTAACGAGAACATTTATTAGCTTACATACATCCCACTTGGATTTTACACAAATTGCGAAATTATACCCCGACTTACGCGAATTCGACTTACACGGTCATCGCTCGGTCCCACCTATCGCGTAAGTTTGGGGTATTACTGTACTTTGAAGTAAAACAACAGGATGTCCAAAAAATGAAGAAAAAATAAGTTCCGGAACTTTTTGAACAGATCACGTATAATCACATCTGACAATCACATCAGAAGAAAAGCCATGCAAAATACTAGTTTTAATTATTTAGTACAAGAAAGTCTTACCTTTTTATAGTCTTTTTCTATCTCTTTCCTATCGCTGTCTCTTTTCAAACCGACATTGCCAGTCCAGCCAATGCACTCACTGCTCTCTGAAGAGGAAGACATGATGTCTTTCCTCTTCTCTGCCTGCAATGAAAATTTAGTAATTGAAACTATTAATTTTAGAATAACATGCAACTTAAACTTAGAAAGATGTTTGGCCGAACGAGGCTAATGAAGCAATGATCCACTTTGCCTATTTAATCAATTATATCTTTTGAGATGTAATTGATAATGATTAAGTCTCACCTACAATAATTAAATGATTTTAATTTATAAATATTTATCACTTCCTTTTTACTTCATTTTTAAATTAAAATATACCACATCATTAAAGTACCAGGTAATTATAATTAAAGTGCTCCAATTCAATGTTGTCTAGAAAGATAAATAACAATTCAAATCCAATCAAATCCAGTACAGCTCTGCTGGGCAAATTTTAGTCATTTTGAGGTTATTGGGAACAAGAAATTCTTAAGAAAGTTGGTAAAAAGGTTAAATTGAGAAGACATTTTCATTTAAGTTTAATCTATTCATAAAATAATGATAATATACAATTTTCAGACTTCTATTAATGTATGACAGGAGTGAAGATATACATGCATTAGATAAAAACAAATAAAACTGATTGTATTGTATTTACCATTTGTTTTATTTAATACTAAAAAACTTAAATGTTAACATCTTTACATTATATATATGTAATGAATTACACATAACAACAGCTAGTACTTGCCAGAGACCACCACCAAATCCTGGCACTAAAGGTCACATGGCTGCTGCTGCTGTCCTGCCTCACCACGTGCAGAGGCCCACAGGTCATTTTGAAATCATTGTCCAATAGGATCCCTAAAAAAAATGAAAATTTGGCCTCTCCCATTTTTATTGAATAATAACTCTGTTCCATTTGACCATTAGCTTCATATATGTAAATAAAAGACATTTACAAATACACCATGTACAAAAAAAAAAAAAAAAAATTAAAATAGGAATGGCAGCACCAGAAACAAAATTTTCAAAGTCAGTAGGAAGGTGAAACTTCTTAGTCTTATTATAAAATATTTAATATGTCTTGCATCATAGAAATCAACTGGATAAATTTTAATAAACAAACAGTTGAAAATCTATAAGATGTTACATATCTAATTGAGTGCCTTAAAATATGTAACTGTCCCACAATTTTCACAAATTGTGTATTTTTAATAAATTTTTTGTAACCAGACGGAAGTTTTTGTCTTATTCACTAATATTACAGAAATGAATCTCTCTAAAGATTGGTTCTATGATTCAAAAAGCAAGGAAAAAGAGGACTAACCTTTAATTCTGGTTCTTCTTGACTGCTCTCAGACTTTTCTTCCTTGGATTCTGTCGTATTGGCACTTTCCTGATTTTCCTATAAAGTTAAATCATTGTTGGTTATTAAGGAACTTCAATAATTCTTTACTACAAATTATAAAGCCAACAAACTCAATCCCTAAATGGCTTTAATAATTTATTACTTTTCTAAATGAGGCTCTCTAAAACATTATATAATTAAAATATCATAATTATATTTCAGTTTAGTTAGAATATTTTAAATTTTGGTAATTTTATAAGTTTAAAATTATAAGATAAAATAAATCAAATATAGTTCAGAACTGTAGGATTCTAAATTATTTTTAATTAATATCATAAAATAAACAAAATAATTATCGAATAAAAATCTTATTCGACAGACGATTATTAATTATTTCCAATACAATTATTTGCAATTAAAATATTTTAATTAATTTAATTAATTGGAAAATAGCAATAAAGAGATAAAATCATTTAATTAGGTTCCAATTAATTGCCTATTTAACTAATTTCTACATCGCTATGCTTTATTACTCTATTTATTATTTAATTATTAACCGTGTGAATTTTAAAGTTTCAAATATTTGTAATTTATATCAATTTTACAAAAGAATTAAAAAACTAAATGATATTTAAATCACATTAACATACATTTACAAGAGAATGCTGGAGGAAAGGTATTAAATTTTATTACACTTAACATTGTTTGTCAATTTATTTTAATTATTTCCATTTAAATATTATTTAAATTCTACCAAAAACAAAATAGAAAAAAGCAAACAATCCGCTCTTTTTCGTAGCAAAAATAACTAAATAGACAATAAACTAAAACACTTTTTTTCAAAATAACAATAGATAATTGTTGCGCAAAACAAGACAGTACAGAATTGACGTTTAGAACTCTTGGCTAATGTCAAACTAACAAAATACTATTAATAGCCAACTGGCAGGGTCGGATGCTAAACAATGTACACTGAGAGTTAATTTGCACAATTAATGCAACCTTAACTATCACATATAATCCAAAATATATATTTAAGCATCAATATACTTTGCTAGAATTGATATTTGAATAAATATGTTCAGTCTCAGTCTACATCTACAATTATCCTTACAGATGAAGTCCTACAGCAACCACATTTCAGGAGATTTACAAGAAAAAATTTTCATAATATACCACTACATTAGCAGAAGTCTTTGAGTATTTACCAAAATAACTTGGTTCCAAAGCTTCTTATAAATATTTCATTTAGAAAATGCATCGATAAAGTTACCTAATCATTTCTGACTTTATTATGGCACCTTACAAAAGTAAATCTATATAAATATTCAAAGCTATCTTGTATAATTCAGCTAGATGCTATATGCCAGTGGAAAAAAATATTATAATTATAAAAATATTATGAAAGTTTGATGCCATTATTAATTGAACAAAATTGAACAAACTGTGTATTATTAAAATAGTCTACTTATCTATTAATATCTGTATAAATAGATTGATATTTATTACAGAATCTCCATGTTATAATTCATAAAAAAATATTGTTTTTTATGTTTGTTAATACGTATGTCTCCATTTATTGTCGGCATACGAATTGCTATGCAAAAGACAGACGTAATAATCACCTACAAAATTATACATTGTAAATAAATTTATCTCAATTTACTAAATGCTTCTTGTAACAATTTAGTAAATTAAAAATAATAGTTTTACATTAAACTTGACACTTCTAATATAGTAGACCAAACTGGCTGAATAGCTGAGGCAATTAAGGTGTTGGCCTTTCATTCCAGGGAAACAAAAACAAGTATTCACAGATATATTGGGTCCTGTCTCTCATCACCTGGCGACTCCATCATGGATCTGATCTTGCCAAAGACAGGTACGTTTAAAAGACCCTCTTAGTATGTCACAAAGCATAAGAGTAAAACAGAAAATAGTAGATCCTGACTTACAACACACTTCATAATTTGTATAAATTTTCTGTTATAAATATATGTTATGCCATAGTTTGTAATAATGGAGCCATTGGAAATATAAACAAGACATCCCTCTCAAGAAATGGCATCTTAAAAATTCAGAAAAGAGGTTGAGTGAGGAACAAAAGAATAAACGGCAAGGACAACAAACTGGGCAGATAAGTCAGTAGAATTTAATTAAAACAAAACTGACCTCAAGTCTCAACAGGAGAATAGTAAATAAACCTACTCCACATTCTGCTGGTCATCTTGGCATAGAATTATAAATTTAAACTGCATTTCTACAAATAGAACTTCATTATGTGACACTAAACTTGCAGTAAATGTCAATCAGCTGTTATAAATCAAAGATTTATAATGACTGATTGACATTTTCTAGGAATTGATTAAATTCATAAAAGAGAAGATAATATGCTATTTAATCAGAGAAAAAATATTTTTGCTCACTATCATTTATGTTAGATTTCTAAATTAGAAAAAGTATTTTGGCATGCATCTAAAGTGATTTTTACAAGACAAGAAATGGACAATGGGCACAGACAATCTGCATTTCATTTGTGACTCGATTTAATTGGTCTAAGGACCACATAATTTTGACAAATAGCTTCTATCTAGTTTGGTGTATCACTGAAATTATAAACAGAAAATTTTTGAAACAACAATTTTCTTATAATCAAAATTAATATTTTATATAAGAATGAGTATTATAAAAAAGAGACATTACGAAGTCAATTTGATGATTTTTCTCACAAATCAGATAAAAACTCACTCATAAGTCTGTTCTCATTTCTATTATTATTTTCTTGTGTGAATAAAAATCTCAGCAATTGATACGAACAATTTTGCATGATGATAGTGCCTTCTGCTACTGGCTCGACGGCATTATTTTAACAATTTCTTAATATCCGTATTAATTTATTTCATAATATTCCTTTCTGTGCTAAAAGTCTATCCTACTAGTTAGAGATCTCTAACTTTGTAACTCATCTATCAAAAGATTAATTTTATCTGTACAAAACTCCTCTCTTCTACGGTCCACCTCAAATAAGACAACGTCTTCTATAAAGAAAATCATGTCTCACCATCAATCCAACTTAAATTTTTTAGAGATGCATCAACAATTAATTTGATAATTTCTACACCTAACACACTCCCAAGAGTTTTTGTTCCAAAATTTACAATACAGTGTGGCAACTACCCAAAATTAAATTTGACTTATCTGTAAAATCAAATTTATATTTTTAAATACAATGTTAGAAAACATAAGTTCTCAATTTACAGATTTGTAATAAAAAACTTTTAGTTCCTTTTATTTAAAAACAACAACAAAATTGGATCTAGGGCAAGCTGGATTCTCTGCAGACATTCTACGATTGCAAACATAAATAATTTAGTTATTACTTAATCACATATATTATATATTTATAAAATAATTCAAAGAATCTACAGATTCTCATTTATGTTTGAGGAAAGACTTTGCAATATTATATATCTAAATTAAGAATTTTTTTGAAAGTTTCAATAAACTGAGTAACTGGTTAATGTCAGGCTTATATTAAAGATTTATTATATCTGACAAAAAATATCAAATCACATTATTAAAAAAATGTGATGGTATTATTACAAAATTTTATTTAAATTAAAAAAAATAAGACTAATAATAAATTTGTGTATCAATTAGAAGTAAAATCACAGTATTTTAGAATTGCCTTTAGGAGTATTTATCAGATTTAATTTCTTTAAAATTAGAAAATGTCCCAAAAGATCCCAGGACAAAAGATTCCCTCCCCACATCAACAAAAAATCCCAAACAAACAATATAGCATTTAAGCCATAAAGAAAAAAATTTACAGATTAATTTTAAAAAGTGTCGAATTTGTCTTTAATTTTTATTTGCTTTCTTCCTATACAATTATAGACCCAGTATAATAACTAGTTTAGTCTAGCAAGAGCACCTCATTAACATTTTTGCAATGACAGTAAAACTGTACTCAATTGCAGTTTTATCTACAACAGATGCTGATCTCAAAACGGATTAGCAGCTACTCTAAATAAGATTCCAATAAGAAATTTATTCTGTTTACCAGAACTGAATGCATTAATAAGATTAAGTTTTAATTTTGAATCCTTCAATAACAAATTCCAATTTTCAATGTTAGTATCATTGTCACAAAGCAATTTTAAACGAACATTTGTAGCATTCTTATTATTGAGAGAGATCACACATTGTATTTAGAATTCTGTTTATAAATTATCATTTCACTTATTAATTAATTACTAATTTTTAAGTAACATTGATTATACAAAGTAATAATAATTAAAAAACAATCATCACAGTCAGATTTGAAAATGGATCTTTGTATAAAATGAAAATGCTTGAACTTTCAGACTGGTGGACCAAATTGCACGGCCACAAATATTTTATACAGTTCACACAGAAATACATCCAAATTCTGCATATTGTTTATAGTGATGAGTCAAATATGTCACGGGCCAGATTGGCATGCATGTGACAATTTGTCGAACAAGCCAAATTTGGTCTGTGGTACAAGTTAACTGTTCTATATTAGGGAGCAGAAACTGTAGCCCCCAGGACTGAGTGAACTGCCAAAGTACAGAGTGCATTAAATAAAATTGCCAGGACAAGTAGCCTACAATAAAAGGTTGACTCCACTGTGGAATTGTTATTACCTCAAACAGCGTGTGAAGGGACAGAATGAAATTGACTCATAGTATATTTTGTATGTATAGTCTTAAGAAATATATATTTTACAGAGTGCAGTTATTTTTGAGTTATGGTTTTTCTGAAACATCCAAATCTAGGCTTCAACAATGAATCATCATCCAAAGCTGAACCACAAAAATAATTGTCAATGCAGATTTATACCTGGAATGCATCGTTCAGACATTTCTATGGCATCTAGTGTCCAGATGTTTCTGCCATTGTTGATGAGTTTGTGAGTTATTGTTTCGTTGTCATTTTGTTGTATACATATCTACAGTTTCTGAGGACAATTTCAAGCTGAAATTGTGTGAATCTCTCTAGTACTAAAGCAGTTGACATTCATTCCAGTTGAGCACAAGTTAATACAGAAGTGAAGGGCTACACTATTGAAAGATATGAATCTTTCAATAGCAAGTAAAGGGCTATACTATTGAAAGATATGAATCTTTCAATAGTGTAGCCCTTTACTTGCTTGATCATTGAAGGAATTGAAAAACAAAGGAAAGTGTTTAGTGAGTGAAGCCTATTCTCAGCAAATCAAAAAAACAAGTTACTCGTCAACATGCAAAGTGAGCTGGACAAGGGTTACAAGTCTGTCCTCTGCTACCAGGACTACCTTATAAAATTTGTTTCCTGCAAAACTAAAAGAAATGGAATTAAATGGACATTAAAAACAAGATGAGCAATGCAAGTTGCTTACAATCTTCTTGATATCTTCTGCACTAAAGATACTCCATGCATACTGCATAATAGTGACAATGAACAAGAGTTTGCCATGCAAGTCACAAACAAGCTAACTTCTACTGTATGTTTGGCTCTAAAACAGTACATGGAAAACCTTGACATATGCACTCAGTTGTAAATGTCTGTTTTCTTACTCAAAACAGCAAGCAAACAGACATTTACAACATCCTTATAAAATGGATGGTTATTGAGAAGACATCATCCTGGTACCAAAATACAGTCTTTTGTTTAGATGAAAAAAACAGATCTTTTCACAGAATCCCTTTGGCACACCTAGACAAAATAGTCTCGAGGATTCTGCCTCTTCACTCAAGGTAAAGACCTCTTTTTTGGCAATGGCTGATTTTTGGGCTTTGCTCCTAACACACATACTAACAAACTAGAAAAACAAAAAGATATGCATATATTTTTCTACAGTGAAATGTGTTTCTTTTAATGAAAGAAACATATGTTATCGGCTGCTATCCAAAGCAATTGTAATCAACTGTTTTTAATCTATCATAACAATATCACCCAACATCAAATGTTTATAAATAATCATGGCCGAGTAGTTAAGGTGGCAGCCTGCCACTCTGGGGACCCAGGTTCAAATCTGGACAAGTTGAAAACTCCAGGAATTTTTCGGGGCAGTCCATCCCTTGCAATCTGATCGTACCATTACAAGCCTGGCCAAACCCACAACAGACCTGCTAAGAAGGCCCTCTTTGTCTCCACAGGAGAGAAAGGGAAAAATATTTCTATTTCAAAAAAAAAATACATGTCTACTTATCTATCTGATTACTATTTATATACAGTATATATTTGTGAATTCTGTTGTATTATCCAATATTATCCCCAAGATTTTCATAACTGAAATTTTAGCCTTAGCAATAAGACATAAAAAAATCCGAGTTTAGATACAACCAGTAAAACTTATGACTTTCAATTCAAATTATGAGTAATGAAATTTCCACAGATGACAAATCTCTCTAAATCATTTTAGTAAACATCAAAATAATTTATCATAATTATTTAGTCTGATATTAAACTTGTATGCATACATATTTTATATTATATATTTAATTGCACGATGCTTAATATTTGTAAAGTAACAAAATTAGCATTATAAATGACATTCCAACAAATGCTGTAATCCAACTGTCCGAAAACTATTGACGAAAGCATTTATTCTACATATAAACGGACAAATTTACCTCTTGTGGCATCTGATTTACACCCGTAGATCGACGTTTTGGTCTCCTTCGTCTCTGTATGACGGCTTGTGTTCCCTGAGCATTACGATTATCTCCGTCTTTTTCGCTATCTATTTCGTGTTCTATAAAATTTGGTAATAAAACAATGCATTGGATTAGGTCATTCAGTTATTATATTTATCAAATTTTTAATAATAAATTATATATCTCAACATCTACAGATCTATTATTAATGTAAATTTAAATCGTGCCAGTGACATTTATTATACTGAATAATATTAACTGGCTACCTGTCTTAGCATCTTCAGTTTTCGAAGACCTTGAGCGTAATTTCGTAGAAATAATATCACTACTATCGCTTTGCTGAGTCAAATACTTAGAAACATTACTTTTGTCGGTATTAGATGAATAGAGTGGCAGATCTTGCAAAAGATGAGTTGTAGATTGTTCCGTCTAAAATAAGTTATATAGAAACTTTACAAAAATATATATATATATTTTTTTTTGCTTTTTACTCAAACATTTTTAGAAACAAAACATACTTTCAGATCTTCTTTATCATCAAGCGATATCCTTTTCTCCGCTTTGGTAATTGATTTAGTTAATGAAGTATTGATCGCAGAAGCTTTGGTATTTAAGCTGTTGTTCTCGGCATCCAATCCCCGCTTTTCTTTGTTTTTCTGTTCCTTATTTTCGTCAGCTTCCTGCTGTTTCTTAAGTAACTGTTGCTCCGCCAATTTAATATCTTCTAATGTTACACCCTAAAACAATCATCTGTTAAAATATTTCTTTTTATTAAAAACATAATTCACTCTTCAGAATGTCGTTCGTTACCTGTGTCGAGCGTCGCGTCTCTCTGACTCTCTTTGCATGAGCCTTTCTTTGAGTTTCGGATTCTTCGTCCCGAACAGGCGGAACAAAAGACCTTTCGAAAAATACACAACCAATTATGACAACAAACAAAAGATTTGTAATAATCACATCACAAGTGTTAAATACTACCTCCTTGTTTGAGATGACGACGACGGTGCTTGTGCAGTAATGCTTGGCAGAGATTCTGGAGACAAAGAATCAAATTTGACACATGGCACATCACTAGGAACTTTTGGCTGACTTTCTCCTTCACTTTTCCTATTCCTAAATTGAATATTTTTTTTTTTAATTCACTTCATAGAGTTCTTTCATTACAAAAGACAGAAATAAACAAACACTTACTTGTTCTTGTTAATTTCTTCAATTTGTGGTTTTAAGTTAATCTAAAAACAATTTTATTTCATAATATAAGTAAATGTAAAAATCTTCAAAACCAAAAGACAATGTGGCTAATATTTCTCACTTGATCCGAAGAATCTTGTTTCACTTTTCGCAGTATTATGGTTTCCTCTTCATCCTTCAACAACAATGGAACTTTTGCAGCCGAAATGGCATCGCTTTCTCCGGAACTTCTGGATACATCTCTCTTTCTTACGTTTGCCTGCTTTGTTATGTCAAGTAATTCTGGTTCCGCCACAACTTTCGACTGAATAAATTATTCAATTTAATAAAATCTCAACAAGTATTTAATATTTTTATTGTTAAAGTTTTATTTTTAGACGTCTTTAAACCTCTTACCTGTATGCTTTCATCCTTTTGTACTTTTTCTAAATTGGTCGACACAGAAGAAATTATTTCCTTTTCATTTTCCGCATTATTGGCTTTATTTCGAATTGCTGACAAATAAAAATAATTATCAATAAAAATCTGTAAAAGTAGAACATTTTACTTTCAATTAATTTGATACATACCGATTTCACTCTCTTCTTTTTTCATTTCTTCAGCAGATTCTAATTCAACTTCGATTCCGGGAGACTGTTTTCTGTCTAATTTAAAAAAAATATTTATAGTTTAAGAATCAAATACTTTGAAATTTCAACATATTTTATTTTAAATTTTAATTATCCTACTCTAAAATCATTAATTATTAAAAATACTAATACTAAGATACTAAAATGGTAGGAAAAGGCAGTTTCTACCATTATTCTATCATTTCAACTTGTATTAACAGCTTTATCCTTAATTAATAACATTTGCTTTATTAAGTAAAAAATTAAAAATGAATCATAAGAAAGTATGCAGATTAGAGTAAATAAATGAATCATCATAAAATAAAGCAGTTTTTCATTAGTGTGTTGTCACCGAACTCAAATTTATTAACCGATAGATGAGCCCATGTCTCTATTCTTCTAATAAAACAGGTATGTAAAAACTAAACCAGCACACACAAATTAAGATAATTACTAGACTAAGTCAATTAGAAGTTTATAAATAGCATAATACATATAATAATTATTAGTTAAGAAATAACGTAACCAAATTCTAATTTATTATAAGAGCTTAGAGTCAAGATTCAACAAATAACACGTAAAAGTATTTTCTATTGGCAGATTGTTTGAATCTGCTACTAATGAAACTGCTGCAGTTTATCTATTTTTCCTTATATAGATACATTTGTGTAATTAAAATTAAGTATGTATGAGAAGTCCAACTGCACAGAAACATTTAGAAAATGTTTCCCGCAGTCTCTTAGTTCTGAGACTGTAAAAACACATATACAGTAATCAAAATATAACACTGTAATTGTATTTAAGTAAACAAATAAATAATCTTAAGATTGATGACTCTTGGATTTGAAAACAAAATAATAATCTGTTAATTTAATTGCATATAAAAAGTATTTTAAAATTAGCAAGATGTTAATTTTCACACAGACTGTATTAATATTCTTCTTCTTTTGTCTATATTCTATCGACTAATCATATTTTGGTTACTAGTTTATTGACACATTTATACTATTAGTACAGTACAGCACAAATGTGTCAATAAACTAATAACCAAAGTGCAATTAGTCTGTTTTTATTGGTCTTGTAACCAGAATAGTATAGTATAAAGATTAAATATATTTACAATAACAAAAGTGGTTTAACAGCATTTTCATTAAAAACATTTAACTTGATTTTTTTAAAATCAATTTAAAATTACAAAACTTTTAATTTTAAAAATTTCAAATAGCCTAAATATAGTTTTGATCATTTTATGTTCTAGTAATACATTAGAGTGGCTTTGTTTTGGATTTCATTTTTCTATCGTGTGGAAACAAACTCAGAAATAATTTGGTCAGCTTTTCAGCTCCGCACAAATTACGATGTTGTCCCCTTTTCTATTTCTACAAAAGATTTCTTAAAATATGTTTGGAATATACTTTTTTTAATGCTGATTCACCAAATATAAATACGACAATATGATATTTGTCTAATTATGAACTTTTGTAGTCGTCAAAGATACGACAGACTAATCAAGGGAAGCAACAATCAAATGATGTCACTTGTCCATTATATCCAAAAATGTTACAGTTAATTACAAAACAAACTTATACAAGTTACAATAAGCTATAAGCGGGATGTAATGTTCCAATCTCAAATACGCATTTCCACTCCAACTGCCTGATTTAAACAAATGGTTTTGTTTGTCATTTGACCTTCAATTATAAGCAGAGCTTTGGAGTGGAGCCGGAGCATGGAGCAGGTGGAGCAACAGATTTTTATTCAGAGCAGGAGTGGAGCCAGAGCATAGAAATTTGTAGTGCTCCACTGCTCCGATATACATATTTATTTAATATTTGAGATGGTGAGAATGGAAGTGGCTTAAGTTGTAATATTACAAATGTTAAGTCAGGGATGCACAACCTTTTCTGAAGAAGGGCCAAATTAGGATTAAGTTTACTGACTGGGGGCCGGATCTCCAAGTGATTAATGCGATGGCTGAGATTGGATGCTGGCAGCAATCTTCTTGACGTCTGGCGTAATGGCAGATGTTGAAACAACCAGCAGATTTTCCAAATTCTCGTTGGTTAATCTGTTCCGTGTTTTGCACTTGTTTAAATTCATAAGCGAAAACGCTTGTTCGCATACATAGGTACTGCCAAACATGCTTGCACAAAATCGAGCATTGTCTTTCAGTTTTGGAAATGATGTATCTGGCAGTTCTTTGTAGAATGTGAGGAGATTAGAATTTTTGAACTGTGATTTCAATTCATCACTGCACTGGATGTCTATCAACTCAAGTTGGACATCTGGAGGGG